CAACTATTCTCCATTTTACAAATGGGGAAAGTGAGGCCCAGAAAGGTTAAGGCAGTGGACCAGAGTTGCACAGCTGTTAGGAAGCAGAGTGGGGCTTAGAATCCTGGCAATCTAGCTTCAGACGCACGCCCTGAACCCTTCAGCTATATCTACGATAGCCTACTATGTGCTGACCCAGAGGCCATTTATGGAGAAAGCAGATGACGTGGTACCCCCCGCCCTGAAACCACTGCAGCCAAGGCCCAAAGGCTCTGAGCCTGAGCGTCTGTTGCCCAAGGAGCAAGGCAGCCATCCTCAACTACCCGGTACACCCGCCCCAGCACAAAACCAGTGTCCCGGCAAGGAGGGGAGGGGTAGTGCCCAGGAGACGTAATCTGGGTCCAAATCAAAGCCCTCCCTTCAGCACAGCCTCTCCAAGAACGAAGGCAGCTGCTGCCCGGCACTCTGGCTCTGCCGTTGCTGGAGGAGCTCCGCAGAGCCCAAACTGCCATCTGGAAGTGATCTGGCCCAGAGATTCCCGCACGGGGTGAAAGGATGGAATGACCAGCTGCCCCAAGCTCCAGTCCAGGTCTCAGAAACAAAGCTGCTATGAATGGGCCTCGGAGGAAGCCACAACATAACCAGGGGTCCTCCCCTTCCAAGGAGGCTAGTCCACAGCCCTGTTATAGCAAGCAGCAGCGACACTAGCCAACCAAGCTGGACTCCCCAGTGTGGCCCTGATTTCAAACGTCCTTTAGGCGTGCAAACCCTCCAGCATGGCTGTTGAGAACACTACTGGCCAGTACTTTATTTATTGAGTAAACACTCACACGGCACTTACCATGTGCTGTTCCAAACATTTTTTAAAATATTAACTTGTTTAATTTTTATAACAACCTTTTAAAGGAGGTAGTTATCATTCCCATTTTGGTGATAAGGAAACCAAGGCACCGAAGTTTCTTAACAGCTACTTAGTGGCAAGTGGGATTTGAACCAAGAATCCTTGCTCTTAACTAAGGTAAGATCCACATCTCGCACTGTGTTACTTTGTTGCAAATGGCCCAGAACTCGTTAATTCTGACAAAGTAGGCAACTTTGCTACTTTTAAAGCATTCTCTACTACTTTCGCCTAAAAAGACCCACTTGGCGTTTACCAGGTAGTTCGGGAAAGAATAGAATTCAGGATTACTGTATTTGTATGTTATTTGGGTGGGGGCAGGGCAACAGGAAGGGAAAGGGGCTGAGTGCCATGGTGACCCACCACCCTGGAAACTCTGCCCAGTGACCCAAGGTCTTGGGAACACACACCCTGCCTGCTCTGGGGCGCTGGCCTGGCACAGGCACCTTAAGTAAACATTAGGGTCAGACCGCATCCTCTGAAAAGGAAAGAATTCCTTCTTCTAAAGGATCAAACCAAAACACACCACCCAAACTTCCAGGCAGCCTTGATTGTCATTCTTGGGCTGGGAGACCCCTTTTTCTCCAAATTGGCTAAGCTGCCCAGCGTCAGAAAGGTTTTTGGAAAAACAAGTAAATAAAACTGCCAGCTCCTGGCAGGCAACTAGAATGATTTATGCTGAGGCCTCACTATGAACTGCCCAAGACAGACCAAGAAACCGAAGAAAATCTTCAACTTTTGGATGCAGCCTAGACTGGGCCCACCTTACAACAAATCACAAATGTGAATAAACAGCCAGAACTGTCTTTCCCTGAATTCTAGGCAGAAAAACCAGTCCTCTGGCAGCTTCTGACCATCTCATGTCTCAGAGCTGGGCGCCTGTATACAACTCTTATGATTCTCAACAATGTACATTGTTGGAAGTTATCCAAAGTATACAAAACCCTGTATCCATTCAAAGATACCTTCCCAGATTATGGACTAAAACACCATCCATTAAGTAGCAGGAAATACCACCACCACTGCCACCACTACTCCCCTCCCCCCCCAAAAAAAAACCCCTGTGAACACAGGGCAGCCATTCCCTCAACAAGTTCATCTTGATGCTAGATACAAACTGATTCTGCTCACCTCCTGACGTGACACTCATCTCATGGGACCCTCATCCCAGTTCAAAGGATTCATCCTCTCACCTAAAGCCTTGAGATTCCCTCTTTGCTCAAGACTTTGTTCAAGGCTCAAAGCGTGAGTGTCCAGCTGCTACCCCAACATCCCAGACTTGCAAAATCTGGTGTTTCCGGGGCTCTCCGGCTGGGGGGAGAGGGGCTGTATTTCACTCATTTCTGACGATGAAAAGCAGGTCAGTTAAGGGTCAGTTTCTCAACTGGGCAGACCCAGCTTCCAGTCACCATTTAGTAGCGGAGTGATCTCCGCAAGTTACTTCACTCCTGTTTCCTCATCTTTAAGTGCAGATAATAATACTAACAACAACCACAGAAATAACAGAAATGACCATTTTCTAAGCACTTAGGCAGAACCAGGGCAAGCCTTGTACCCTCCCAGTGACTTGGTGAAGCAGATGGTTACATAGACAAGGAAACCAAACCTTGAGGATTCCAGGCGGTGATCAATGGGGCGATGAACAGAACACACAGAACACCTAGTGTGTCCCAACAAACTGGAGCCAGGGTCTTTGTCAGCACAATGCAACACAGCCTAAGCAGTGAATACTTGAACTGAAGTCCGAGCTGGACGGGACTTTCTTCTGAAGGGCCATTACCCAGAACTGCCCTGGGAGCAGGGAGAAGAGGCCTCAGGCATCACCCCCATGGGACTTCTGGCACTTGGCAAGTCTCCCTCCAGTCTTCAGAGGCTGGAAAACCTGTTTACTGTGAGATCTTTCTGGAGAGCAACTAGGCAGCCAATGATAAGAGTCATAAATGTGGTCACACTCTGACCCAGGAATGCCACTTGGGGGAATAGGATCCAAGAAATAATTTTAAAATAAAATGAAACAATGTAGTGTGTGGTGGGAACAGGTCCACAGCAAGAAGTTGCCAACAGCCCACAACTCCACAACCAGAGAAGGGGAGGCTAATTGGGAATGTCAGGACAACGCTATGTCCTAGGTGGGTTCAGGAATGAAAATCATGAGGGTCAACAGGAAAATGTAAGGGACCAGGCAAAGTCTAGAATGAGACCCCCAAGTTCAGGGCAGTGACGGGAAGCCACGGCGGAGCCAGCACAGCCTCTGTAAACAGTTGGTAAATTAGGCAGTCCAGGATTTTCTGGTGCTGTGGTTTCATTTGTTTGTTTTGCTTTGCTTTTTTGAAGAGATTTCATGTCATGTTTGGATACTCCTGATTTACTTTAAGTCTCTTTGCCCATTTAATTAAACAAATACACATTTTTAAAACAAAGAAGAAGCGATCCCAGTTGAGCTCAGCCAGGCCTTGAGATTCCCCAGAAGGAAAGCTGGTTTCTGAAAAGGGGAGAGTTCCAGGATAATTCTGGGGCTCTCCTTCCACAGCTGTAGGAGATGGGACCCCAAAAAAGAGGCAGCCTGTTACACAGCTCTGCAGAGAAGCCACCCTTGATGGGGCGGCTGCCTGGGCCCAGGAAGCAGGAAGCGGCCCTACCTGCCAGGGCAGGTGTGGGGGAAGGGGAGGGAGAGGACAGAGGAGACTCAGCCTAGAGGGAACCCCTTTTGCTCTGGAGAAAGTCCCAGCAGCCACACCCACCCGGTGCAGCCCATCACCCACCACCCTTTCCTCCTATCACAGGAGTCACTATAAGGCCTGGCTTTCTCTGGAAGAGACCCCAGACCCACGCCTGGGTCAGCTCCTCCAGCAAGAGCCTCACCTGGCAGAACACACACACGCACGCGCACACACAACACACACACACACACACACACACTATGGGTGCACACACTTTCTCTGCCCATCCACGCTATGTACACACTACATCCTCTGTACACATAAAAGTGCACACATGCACCCACATAACTACACACCCCTTCCCTCTACAGTCACAGCCCACGCCCTCAGCAGCCTTGTGGCTTTCCTGGAAGCTTTCAACTACCCCAGGTCCTAGCGGGGACCTGACCCTCATTCTCTCTTCCCAGCAGAGGGGAGCGGAACCTGACACCAACTCCCTCCCCCTTC